AGCAACAGGCAGCCAGGAGAGGCTTGCAGCCTCCCGGTAGCCAATTAATCAGTGGCCAACTAATGGGGCAGAAAGTTTTGAAAGGCTAGGGAACTGGTCCTTTTTTGCCTCAGGAAGGCAGACATCTTGGCAGGAGGAAGGACAGGGCTAAAATTAGGAAAGGCAGGCATGCCCAGCATTTTCCTTCCCCGTTGTTTCTCACTGCCAAAAGAGCTATGCAGTGGGACATCTTTTGAATAGGGAAGGACTTGGGAAACCTGGTTTGTGCCTGCACTAGGTCTCCCAGGATGTCTTCCACCCCTGAGCTCCACTTAATGACCCATGCATTAATGAATGCACTAGGAAGAGCAGGGATGGCTGGCTATTACTTGAGGTTGTTCATTTAACATTTGTCAAGTCTGTAACTCCAGGATTATCTGTCTACCCAATCAGAGGCATGTTACATACAAACTTTGAAAGAGTTTATACTTTCAAAAGAGGCAGATGATAACAGTTACAGAGTATCTCTGCTAACATCTCTACATCTTTATCCCTAGTGATCAAGTAGGCTTTTAGATACAGAAAGCCAGACCATTCCTCTGTAAACCGCTTAGAGAGGGCTGTAAAGGACTGTAAAATGATATATAAGTCTAAGTCCTATAGGTATTCCAATAATTCATTTTCAAATTTTGGAATATTTAACAGGGCTGCTGTTACCTGGACCTCATAGTATCCCATTGTAAAAACTGAAATTATATCAGACATGTTGTATTTTTCTAGAACTATATAACATTCTGTCAGCGTTCCAAGTATCATGCAGAATTAAATCAGTCCAAGGCAAAAAGATCCTTAAAGTTCCAATTTAATAAGTCAGACATATTAGCACATCTATGGAAATCCCAATTCTGAAAACTTCCTGGGATTCCACCCAGTTGAAAGTTCATGATTGTATCCCCACACCCATAAATCCATCACATGGTCCAATCTTCTTCGGCCACGCTGGCATCTCCACCCAGCTGGTTCCGGTCAAGTGCAGAGGTGCGGACACAAAAGATGACCTTGGGCTTCTAGAAAAGAATGACAACAACACATTCCACAATTCTACTCCTTTCTTTACCCCCCTCCCAACTACTACACTAATGAAACAGCATAGTAAAATAATAGAAAGTGTGGCAGACCAAAGATCCTAAAAGGAACTTAACTACAGGCCTGACACATTCTCTAAGACCATATCTGTTACATTGTTTCACTGAAGCTCAGCAGTTTCACATTCAGGATATTTAAGAATACTTCCTAGACCAATTATTTACTGGTTTTCTATTTGACAGGAAAGTTTAGAGCTCTATTTATTGACATCAGATCCTGATTCTTCAGTTTGCTTTGCTGATAATACTAATTTTGCCCTGCATCTTCTGCCACAAAGATAATAATTCATTTTTCCTCTCAAGATGACCCTGAGCATTTTGGCTTAATAAATAGTGGCTTGTGCCTAGCACTAAATTATTGTGGGAAGGCATGTTGAAATTGTCCTCCAGAGTTATTCTGTAGAATTTGGCATTTTTCCTAGTTTACTTGATATATGGAAGATATACATCATGCAGCTGTTTTTTTCTAATCCTTCTTCTGGAGTTTATATTTATATTCAGAGATGACTGTATTGTACTAGGTCTTTTCATTCCATTAAGCTTCCAGTATGCTTTCTTTTGAATCAAGGTTTCTAGCTCCATGTTCATGGTTTGGAGCTATCTAATATTGATTAAAAGCACTCTTTATTCTTCTCCACCTCTTTGGTTTATGCATTGTTCCTTATGGCCTTCTTGATTAGCTGTTTTATTCTACTTTTTCACTGTGCTTTGTCTACTTAGAATGGATTATATATTCTATAATTAAACTGACTGTTGCCAACCAATAAAAGGGGATAAGACCTGGGACCGATACGGTGACAATGGAAAGACCATGTGGAGAGAAGTATTAAGGAAGAACACTGCTGTCAACAGCCTAATCATATGTGCAAGGTTAAAGGAACTAAGATAGTGTCCCCAAGGGCTGCAGTTGAGATGATCACAAAGAGTGGGATTCTGCATTTTTACTTGGCTTCTGTAATTGGAAAATCAACAACTTTAATGCTAAATGTTTGCCCCTGGTTCTCAGGAGCCCTTTTGTAGAAGTCTGACTTTTTCCAAACTGTTCCCAAAGGGCCTAGAAAATTTGAATATTATGTTTACTTTTTACTCTATATCACAGTTTTATGTGCCTCTTGAAAACTCTAGGAACCAAGTTATTTTTTTAGTCCATTATGAGAAACATTTTCAAGAAATTCTCTTGAAAGTCCTGGTCTTCTGTCAGGGAAATTATACTTAGGTTCCATTTGTAAAATTAATGTCATGAAACAATTTCCATATCATTAACACTGGGATGCACCACAATTGCTAATTTGTCATTATCTGTCTATCTAGAGAATCTTTGATTTGCATAGCTGGTGCAAATTGGCAAGTCAACGCGCACTGTACAGACTTATACTCATTCTGTACATTCAAACTCATATCTGTACTTTTCATGATCGGTTTGCTGATCACTATGTGCCTTGTGATTTAGAAGAATATCCTCATTTTGAGAGGATGCAGGTTTGGCTTCAAGCATTGTATTTCATTACCAATCTCTTCATGTGACACATTCTTTCCCCTAAACTCTTGTTCTCTGTAACTGAAGACCAGCTGCTAGTAGAGGGATAGTGCTATTTCATCCCTGAAGTTTCCATCCACTGGCAGTTAAGATTGTCTCAGCTCTTCTGAACTAATTAACTTGCACTCTATGAATGTGTATGCTTGTTATACTAAGCATGCACTCAGAACTTCTGCCTGTGGCAATCTTATTATAAATGTCATATACAATACAATATATATGCTATGCTGGTAATTTAAAACATACAATGGAACGGTTGCAGGAACTAGGATGGCAAGTCTAGTGAAGAGAAGGACCAGGAGAGACATGATAGCAGTGTTCCAATATTTGAGGAGCTGCCACAGAAAGGAGAGGGTCAAGCTATTTTCCAAAGCACCTGAAAGCCAAACAAGGAATAATGGAGGGAAACTGAACAAAGAGAGATTCAGCCTGGAAATAAGGAGAAATTTTCTGACAATGAGAGCAATCAACTAATGGAATGGCTTCCCTTCAGAAGTTGTGGGAGCTTCATCACTGGAAGCTTTCAAGAAGAGACTCGATTGCCCTTTGTTAGAAATAGTGTAGGGTCTCCTGCTTGGGTGGGAGGATTCGACTAGATGACCTACAAGGTCCCTTCCAACTCTGTTAATCTGTTAAATTCCACACCCTTAATATTTTACTGGTTTGCTCCAAATCCGGTTTTCTTTAATGTAATTCAGGATGACAAATTATTTACTTACCAAAATATCAAGGCCCTTATGGAAGTTAATAAGAAAGATAGCAAAATTCTCACATACATTCTTGGAAAGCAGATTTTTTTTTACCAAAAAAACAAAAGAATTTAAGTTACAGAAAAGTGGATATATATTGATATTTACTGTATATGATCTTCATTACTGGTGACCACATTAAAGTGAGGATTGAACACTCTTTTACCTTTGATCCTCTTTCTAACAGAATCTTGGTTAAGTGGGGAGGATGTTAATCACTTATTTCTACCACAGAAATGTGTTCTTATTGTGCTGTATTTTGGAAATGTCAGTTTTCATTCACAGGATAAAAGAATTCCATCATCCCAAAATGGTAAGCCTACATACCTGGTTTCTGAAGTTGTCTATTTGCTTAACTGTATTTTTATTCGTTCATTTGTTTATAAAACAAGTTTATATAGCTGCCAAACTCATACACAGTGACTTTTCATTCTAACCCTTGTTCCTGTTGATGTCGGTCTGATATCTTCCACCATTTGCTTCTTCCATTATTTACAGTACAAATGAAAAAGAAAGGTCATTATTATCTTCTATTACATTTTGAATATTTTCAAAGAAAATATTGTTGATCATTTAAGATCAAATACATAGCTTAGACTGTAAACATTTATAATAAGATAAATAGCACATATTAAACTATTTTTGCATAAATTGGTTTAAAACTGTTATTCTCAATGAGAACAAAATAAAGTTGGTATCAGGGAAATGTATATCAAGTAGATATATAGAAATGTGTATATTTTTAAAAAAATATTAATCAGGAAAAAATTTATAAAATTATAAGATGAAAGATGAGTCCATTGCTTCCAAACAAAATAAATAAAAATGATCAAAACCAAAATTCTGAGAGATATACAAATACATTTATAATATGAATTTATATTATAAATGATGGGGATGATTTAAGTTCATTAGAATATTACTGCTGTAACCAAGTCTGCAAACAATGGGCAGAATGAAATAATATAAAAACATTTATCAATGTTTTGTATGTATTTATCATATGTAACTCATTATGTGGTAAAACATTTTAACAATCACAATCTAATCTGTTTATCAGCCTTCTGAAAAAATATTTGGGAAATGAAAATCAAATACTTTTGCTTCAAAGTATTGAATAAATGAAATGTTTAAGGGAGTTCAAACATTAATCATCCCCATGCCAACTTCTTTTACATTTATACCAAGCCATGTTTTTGCATCCTTGATTTGTGGGAACCAAATAATACAATACATGTGGAACTTAATTATTTTACGCAAATTATAAAGTTACATTGTGAAGTAAACCTTTATTTGTATGGCTACCATAAGAACTGGAAATTTGGTAACAACATTATTTGTCACTATTAGGAGATTCAGGATGAAGCTTTAACCCTAACTCATAACACAGCTTTAACCTTCTTTCCCTTATTGTTTTTTCTCCTTTTTTTAGCACATTACTTTTGGCCTATTCTTGCTTTCAGATTCATGGGTCCTTAATATATAATAATAAACTTTAAATTACTTAATTTGAATATCATTAGCAAGGTGAATTGAGACTCTCAATATGAATAAAAGGGGTAGAAATTCATGTGTTCTGTTTGTCAACAGGGCAAGTACATCATGGTCAAGTTTCCTATCTTGTTCCTCCAATTCATCTAGACTCAGATCTTGAAAGACAATCATTTAAAGGTGAGTTGCTATTTAAATCATTCTACACTGAAAAGATTCATTTGTTAATCAGAGTTTGTCTGCATATTGATCCCACAAAATTCTTGAAAAGATTTGCTGTTGTTGAACAGATTTGAAAATGTTTATCTTTCTGGAATAAGATTTAGCCTGTATTTTATTGCAATGTGTCCATATATTTAATTCATGGTTGTTTTTCTTATAGTTTTGTCATACTATCTGTGCCTTATTGTTAGTCAGAATAAATTGAATCATTCCCTAAAATTCAGATTTAACATGTATAATATAACTGGACACATACATTGTTAATCTACTTATGCTATGTTTTATTCACACTTCATATTTAATTTTTTATGTTTGTTTTCATTTATATTTAATATTTTGTATTTTAATATGGTCTGTTACTATTCTTATAAGCTACCAAAGTCATATTTTATGAGATGAGCAGCTTAGATATTTGCTATAAAAATAAATAAATTATAGAAAATAAAGAAGTACACCACCAATCTCAAAACAATTTAGAGTCATCAAAAATGATACCAAGACAAAAAGGACATTGGCTATCAAATTTAGGCTGTAATCTAGTGGGTGAACAGAAGTGTGCATATTTTCAATTACTTTCCAATCTAAGAATACAATTTTCTATGTTTGAATTCATTGTCAATATACAGTGCTACTATGCATTTATATCAAACATTTTAACAGTGGAAATTAGCACTACTGTCTTCAGCTTTAAAGGGATGCTCTGGTGGATGGTTTGGCTGAATGTTTATCTTCTATAATTTGCTACTGGTCTGGATAAACTTTTATGTATTATCATAGAGAAATCCCATAGAAATATCATATCTTCCAAAGGGGAAGAAAAAGGGGGAGGGGATCCAGGTAATTAAAGACTAGTCAGACTGTCATTATTACCCAGTAAGATTCTTGATCTAAATAGTACTTTTAAAAATAATGTGATAATTACTAAAAGTAAATACGTAATACTAGAAAATAACAATTGCCAAATAAATCTTATTATTTTTATCAGATATCTTTCTTGTAGATTACAAATAAGATATATCTTATATTTATCTTCTTTGTAACAAAGTGATTGATACAGTGAATATTTCAATTAAATATGGGCTAAATGATATAATAATTAAGTCAATACATAGGGGACTTGAAAATAAACTCAGAGTGCTGATCAATTTAGGAAAAGTGTTCTATAACTGATCAAAAGATTCACTATTGGTCCTGTATTCTTCAACAATTTTTATTAATGAGATGGATGAAAAGATTAAATGAATATTTACCAGATCTGTAGATTGTCCAAAATTGGGTGACATAGCTAGTCAAAGAGCTCTTTAAAAAAATTAAAATTACCTTGATGTGTTAGAGAAATTGCCTGAGAAATATTTATTTATTAAATTTATATTTATTAAATTTATAGGCCGCCCAATCCCGGAGGACCGGGCAGCTAAATAACAGAATTAAATTTAGCAAGAGATAAATATAAATTTGGCTTGGCTCTTTTTCTTGTGAGACAGAATTTGAAACAGTAGTTGTTACAAATCAAATATGAATCAGTATCATAATGTGGCTAAGAAAGGATCAAATACAATTTAAATTGGAATAAACAGAAATATAGTTTCCAAATCATGAAAAAATGGTGCATCTTCCTTCTAAGTATTCAGTCAAAGTACTCAGTGAGAAGGATTCAGAGAAACTGAAACAGGTTTTAAAGAAGGGTCCTAACCCCAGTGCTTTCCTATTTACTTTTTTATTTTGTATCTTATTTTACCTTATAACTCAATAAAAACGTTAAACTCAAAAAAGGGTCCGGAGAATAGTCAGGGATTGAAAATTAAATCTTCTATTGAGAGATTTAAGTTACTTGGAATGTTTAACACTGAAAATACAATTGAGGGACAGATATAATCACAAAAACTGGAAAGAAATATGTCACACAGAAGGTAGCCAAAATTTATTCTTGATTTTAAGGAATGAAAGAGATGAAATAAATAAAATTTCAGAAATAAAGATTTTGATTGAATTGGACAAGAGAGGGAGTGGGGAAGGTCTCCTTAACCATAAGAACAGTTTGTGAAACTATTTTCCAGAGCAGCTGTGAGTTTTCTTTCATTATTGGCTGGGCAACCAATTATAGTGGAGCTTCAGAGAAAGAAATTAACACCAAAGATTATTGAATGTCTAAAATGAGAATGAAATTAATTTGTATTTGTCCATCAAAACACATAAATTCCTAGCTACCTTCCTAACTTTATATTTGGAAAATATTTGCGCATCATGTTGTGTTTGGGCAAGGAAACACCAAATTGTTTTAGTAAGGTAAAGGCAAAGGCACATATGTGCTAGTCATTCCCGACTCTAGGGGCCGGTGCTCATCTCTGTTTCAAAGCCAAAGAGCCAGCGCTGTCCGAAGACATCTCCACGATCATGTGGCCGGCATGACTAAACGCCAAGGTGCACGGAATGCTGTTACCTTCCCACCAAAGTGGTCCCTATTTTCCCACTTGCATTTGTACATGCTTTTGAACTGCGAGGTTGGCAGAAGCTGGGACAAGTAATGGGAGCTCACTCTATTACATGGCACTAAGGATTCGAACTGCCGAACCACCAACCTTTCTGATTGACAAGTTCAGCGTCTTAGCCACTAAGCCACCACATCCCCAGCTGTCTTAGAAGAAGAAGCTAAGTTAGAAAAAAAAGTAAACACAAGCTTGGTTCAGAAGCAGGCAGACAACCACATTTATGTAAAAGGTAGAGGAATGCCTACAGATTGTAGCCCAGAAGCCATTACTGACTATAGGGGGTGGTGCTCATCTCTGTTTCGGAGCTCTTGGTTACTCTGGATCTCAGTCTTATGATCAAGGATAAGACATACATTAAATACAAATAAACTATATATTTCATAGTAAACGTGTATTATCACTTCATCACTCAGTAATTTCTTCATGGACCAGATCAAAACTCCTTCCTATCTTTTTCTGCATTTAGATGACAGTTCCCCAAAGCTATATGTCTTCTCTATGTAGAATATTTTTTAAAAAAAACTCATAGTCCATTGGTGTTACACCCTTATGGAATTATTCTTTTTTTATAATTTTTTTTATTTTTAATTTTCAAAACAAACACAACACATCCTTCTTTACATACTGTAGAAAGTGTATCAATTGATTACAAAAAGGCATTCGTGCATCTCTTCCACAGTCAACAAACATAATTCATATTAACTCAAGTATTTTAACTAGATATTTATACATATTACCATCATCATATCTCCATTTTCATTTGACTATAATTGTTTAAACATCCTTCATTATA